CTCTCTCTCTCTCTCTCTCTCTCTCTCTCTCTCTCTCTCTCTCTCTCTCTCTCTCTCTCTCTCTCTCTCTCTCTCTCTGTCTTTCTCTCTCTTTCAATTTCTACAGATTTGATGAGTATGCCTGCTACGTCATCCTCCAAACTACTGATTTTTTTTTTTAAAAAATTGAGATTCTAAGATTCTTTAAGAGACTAGCCAAGGGCTCAGATTCCTTAAATCTGGCCCATTTGCATCAACAATACAAATGCTCAGATTCTTAAAATCTAGCCAAGGGCTGAGACTTGCTGAAGCCTGCTTGTTAATACGAGTGTTACAAATGTTTAGATTGCTTAAGAGTCAGCCCAATATGGTGGATCTTTAATAAACTTTGTCTTTGGCTGAAATAAAAAATGAATAACACCTTGGGTTCACTCCCAAAGCCAACTCATTTCTTTCCTTGCACAGGAGTCATCAAGGTAGAGTGGAAAATATCTGTTTTAGACTGGATCACTTGAGTGCAAGTCCTACCTTTCACATTGACCATATAATCTTAATGCTTGGGCAAGTTTTTAACCCTCTTTAAGCTACAGAACAGTTACCTGTTGGCCATGTTACAGGTGGGTCCTCACTGGAAGTTCAATGCTGGGACTGATGACAGTTCTGGACACCCCTGAACTTCTATTCCCATAACTTACCCCAAGGTGAAGTAGTAGATCAAAAGAATGTCAGCACTGCAGGAAGGATGAGGTTTTTTAGGAGGAAATTGTGCACAATTGTTGCCAAACACCTTTGGTTCTTTTTGATATTGGTGTACCACTGGACGAGGGCTATGGTCTTGGTGTTCTCACTCATGCCTGACACCTAGCATATGTGTATGGTTGAGCACGCCATCCCACAGAGTAAAGGTAAAGAATAGAAACAAAGACTGCGTGTCCTACGACTTGAGGCAGGTAATTCAATCTGGGCCCACTGAAGCTCTTCCTTGTTTATCCTATTCCAAGACTAGAAAAAAGATAAGAGTTGATGAAGGACATGGGAGGGAGAGCTAAGAATGAGGAGGCCAAGCTCCATTTACTTTTCTATGAACACCAGGTGTAGGCATTCCTCATAGACCTTCCTGACAATTAGAGAGAGTTGTCCCAAAGTGAAATGGGCTTCTTGGGTAAGTGCTGGTTTTTCCATTCATGAGGGTCTTTTAAAGGAAAGATTGGAGGATATTTGAATGACCCATAGCAGGGAGAACCAAATGCTTGTCAATCTTATTATAGTGGGCATTCAGTTTGGGATGCATTCTGGTTAGACCAGCTGGCTTCTGGAGTCCCTTCTCTCTCTGAAATTAGAGTTGAGATATATCGCGATATTCTCAATTTCTGGATATTTCATTGACTCCTTGTCTGTTTCCCTTTAGTAACAGGAAGTAAAAGACTTATATGCCTTTGAGACATGTTCTGAGTTTTGGCCTCTCTGCCACTTAGGAATTTATTAAAAGTTACTGATAAAATCATCACCATAGAATTTTCTCACTACTGTGGCTCAGCATTCACTATTCAGGGCAGCTAGGTGGCGCCATAGTGGATAGAGTACCAGGCCTGGAGTCAGGAGGACTCATCTTCCTGAGTTTAAATCTGGCCTCAAACACTTACTAGCTCTGTGACCCTGGGCAAAAAAAATAAAAAATAAAAAACAACAACAACAACAAACGAAAAAAACCTGTTTGCCTCAGTTTTTTCAATCTGTAAAATGAGCCAGAGAAGGAAATGGCAAACCATTCCAGTATCTCTGCCAAGAAAACCTCAAATGAGGTCTTGAAGAGTCAGATACAACTCAGAAATGACTGAACAACATTCAGTATTCAGTACTATCATCTGTTTTTCTTCCTCAGAATGCAATTAGTTACATGTATATTAAACACAGATATGCATCACAAGTTATGACTAAGCATAATTTTATATTAAGGATAATATACTTTAATATTTTTAATTAGCAGAAATGATTCCTCTCTTCTTCTTACCTCCAAATTGAGAAAGAAAGAAAAACAACCAGTTATAAACATACATACTCATCAAAACAAACTTCTGCATTGGTCATATCCTCCCAAAGAAATACGTCACAATTTGAGATCTGAGTGGATTAAAAACCAGAATCCTCCAATATATTGTTTACAAGAAACATATTTGAACCAGAGAGATACATAGAGAGAAAAGTAAGAGTCTGGAACAGAATCTATTATGCTTCAGCTGAACTTAAAAAAATAGGGGTAGCAATTTTTATATCAGATAAAGCAAAAGCAAAAATTGATCTAATTAAAAGAGATAAACAGGGAAACCATATTTTGCCTGCAGGTAATACAGACAATAAAGCAATAGCAATACTAACCATATATGCAACTAATCTTATAGCATCCAAATTCTTAAAGGAACAGTTAAATGAGTTACAAGAGGAAATATACAGTAAAATTATACTAGTGAGATACCTTTATTTTCCCCTCTCAGAACTAGTTAAATCTAACCAAAAAAAAAATAAACAAAAAAGAAATTAAGTAAATTGATTTAAAAAATTATTAATGATAGACTTCTGGAGAAATTTGAATGGGAATAGAAAGGGATACACATTTTTTTCTCACTGTTACATGGTACCTACACAAATATCAGCCATGTATTAATGCATAAAAACTCACAACCAAATACATTGAAACAGAAATATTATTTTCAGATCACAATGCAATAAAAATTATATTCAATAAAGGGCTGTGGATAGATGAAAATACATTAAAATGCATAAATTAAAAAACAGATTAAAATTAATTGGAAACTATATAATCTGATACTAAAAAATGAGTTGGTCAAAGAACAAATCATAGAAACAATCAATAATTTCTTTTTTCTTCTTTCTTTCTTCTTTTATTTTCCCCCAGCTACATGTAAAAATAGTATTTAACATTCATTTTTAAAACTCTGAATATCAAATTGTCTCCCATCCTCCCTCCCCATCTTCTTTCATTAAGAGGCAAGCAATTAGCTATAGGTTATACATGTTTAGTCATGTGAAACATAACCATAATAGTCATATTGTGAAAGAAAACATAGGAAAAATTCTCCAGAAAAACAAAGAAATGTTTAAAAAGTATGCTTCAATCTGTATTTAGACACCATCAGTTCTTTCTCTGGGGATGGATAGCATTTTTCATCATAATCTCTTCAGAGTTGTCTTGCATCATTTTATTGCTGATAATAGCTAAGTCATTCACAGCTGATCATTTTACAACATTGCTGTTACTTTGTACACAGTACATTTCACTTTGCATCAGCCCATGCAAATCTTTTCTGGTTTTCTGAGAGCATCCTGTGTATCATTTCTTATGGTTCAATATTATTCCATCACAATCACATACTACAACTTCTTCAGCTCATCCCCTAATTGATCAGCATCCCCTAAATTTTTAATTATTTGCCCCTAGAAAAGAGCCAATATAAATATTTTGTACATATAGATCTTTTCCCTATTTTTTTTAAATCTCTTTTGGGATACTGACATAGTAGTGGTATTGCCAGGTCAAAGAGTATGTGTGGTTTTATAGCCCTTTGGCTATAGTTCCAAAATGCTCTACAGAATAGTTGAATTAGTTCACAACTCCACCAACAGAGCATTAAAGTGTCATTTTCCCCACAGCCCCTCCAACATCTGTCATTTACTTTTGCTGTCCTATTAGCCCATCTAATAGGCATGACTTCACCTGAAAACTGATCATATTTTTTTATCGTTTTTCAATTGGGGAATGGCTGCTATTTTTGATAAGTTTGACTTAGCTCTCTAGGTTTGATAAATGAGACCTTCATCAGAAAAAATTTGCTTCATTTTTTTTTCACAATTTGTATTGCTAACTGTATTTCCTCAATCCTATTCCCTTCCCCACCATTTATTATATTCTTTATCTCTCTCTTCACCCTATCCCTCCTCAAAAGTGTTTTTCTTCTGACTACCCCTTCTTCCAATCTGCCCTCCCTTCTATCACCCCCTACTTCTCTTATTCTCTTCCCTTCCTACTTATAGATTTCGCTACCCAATTGAGTGTGTATGTTATTCCCTCTTTGAGCCAATTTTGATGAGAATGAAGTTCACTCCCTCCCTCTCACCTCCCCACTCTTCCCCTCCACTCTAAAATTTTTTTCTTGCCTCTTTTATGTGAGATAATTTACCTCATTCTACCTCCCTCTTTCTCACAGTATATTCCTTTCTTGCCCCTTAATTTTATTTTTTAGATATCATCCCTTCATATTCAACTCACACCTTTGCCCTCTGATTATATATACTCCTTCTGACTACCCTAATTATGAGAAAGGTTTTATGAGTTACAAATATCACTTTCCAATGTAGGAATGTAAAGAGTTTAAACCCATTAAGTCCCTTATGATTTCCCTTTCCTGTTTACTTTCTTATACTTCTCTTGAGTCTTATATTTGAAAATCAAATTTTCTATTCAGCTCCAGTCTTTTCGTCAAGAATGCTTGAAAGTCCTGTATCTCACTGAATATCCATTCCCCTCCCCCCGAGGTATTATATTCAGTTTTGCTACACAGGTGATTCTTGGTTGTAATTCTAGCTCCTTTGCCCTTCAGAATATCATATTCCAAGCCCTGCAATTCTTTAACATGTAAGCTGCTAAATCTTGTGTTATCCTGACTGTGGTTCCATGATATTGGAATTGTTTCTTTCTGGCTTCTTGCAATATTTTATCCTTGACCTGGGAACTCTGGAATTTGCCTATAATCTTCCTGGCAGTTTTCATTTTGAGATCTTTTTCAGGAGGTGATTGGTGGATTCTTTTTTTTTTCTTGGCTGCAATTATGACCATTCCTTTATTAGGACTGCTGAACAAATTTTTAAACAGCCATTCATGATCAATGTTCTCGCGTTGATGAAACCAATTTAAATAGGATTGTTATGATACATGTAAAAAGAGAAAAGCAATCTCATCATGAGAGATGTCTCCTTTTTATAATAAATAAGGCAGCAGACAGCTATTACTCATTGGTAGCCTTTTTAAGGTATGCTATCAAGTCTGTCCTTTCTCCCTTCTTCTTAATGCCTGCCAAGATCATTTTGGTTCCAGGGATATACTCCTTGGGGTTTTCCAAGTATTCCATCAGCATATCCTCTCCCCAGATGATATCTTTGTTCTTATTGGCATCTGTGTAGGAGAAGCCGGGAGACTGGCTGGTTTTTCCACCAAAGAGGCCACTCAAATTGGGCCCCGTCTTGTGCTTGCCTTCCTTCTCGATGGTGTGGCACCAAGCACAGTTGTGAACAGAGATCTTCTTGCTCTTCTCCACATCACCCATGGTGAATTTGGCTCGGCCCCCGCAGCCCCATGCTCACCCACTCCGTCGCTGCCTTGCTCAGACTCACGCTTCCTCCTGTGGACTCTTTCAATTTATATTTTATCCTGTGGTTCTAGAATATCAGGGCAGTTTTCTTTGATAATTCATTTCATTTCTTTTCTTTTCCTTTTTGTTTTGTTTTGTTTTGCTAGGCAATGGGGTTAAGTAACTTGCCCAGTGTCACACAGGTAGTAAGTGTCAAGTGTCTGGTCTAAGACCAGATATGAACTCAGGTCCTCCTAACTCCAGGGCTGGTGCTCTATCCACTGTGCAACCTAGCTCCCAGTATTTGATAATTTCTTGAAAGATCATGTACAGGCTCTTTTTTTTTTAAATCATAGCTTTCATGTAGTCCAATCATTTTTTAAAAATTCTCTCTCCCAGATCTATTTTCCAGGCCAGTTGTTTTCACAATGAGATATTTCACATTTTCTTCTATTTTTTTCATTCTTTTGGTTTGGTTTTATTGTTTCTTGATTTCTCATAAAGCCATTAGCTTCCATTTGCTCCATTTTAATTTTTAAGGAATTATTTTCTTCAATGAGTTTTTGAACTTCCTTTTCCACTTCTCCAATTCTGCTTTTTAAGGCATTCTTCTCATTTGCTTTTCGTACCTCTTTTACCATTTTGCCTAGTCTGTTTTTTAAGGTGTTATTTTCTTCAGTATTTTTTGTGTATCCTTTACTAAGCTGTTGATTTGTTTTTCATGATTTTTTTTGTATCACTCTCATCTCTCTTCCCAAATTTTCCCTTTGTCTCTCTTATTTGGTTTTCAAAATCCTTTTTGAGCTCTTCCATGGCCTGAGACCAATTCATAATTTTCTTGGAAGCTTTGGATATAGGAGCTCAGACTTTTGTGTCTTCTTCCGAGTATGTGTTTTGATCTCCCTTGTCACCATAGTAACTTTCAATAGTCAGAGTTTTTTTTTCCACTGTTTGCTCATTTTCCCAGCCTATTGCTTGAATTTTAACTCTTTGTTAAGGTAGGGCTCTGCTTCCAGGGTAGAGGGAGAACTGTCCCAAGCTTCAGGGGTTTTGTGCAGCTGTTTTCAGAGATTCTTCTAGGAACCTGTAAATTTCAGTTCTTCCAAAGTGGTATGATCTGAGGAGAGGTGTTTACTAGTCCCCTGGCCTGTGCTCTGGTCTGTGAGCAACCACAAGCACTCTTTTCTGCCCTGGTACTGAGGTGAGGGTCTCCCTCCACTGTTGTCACAACTCTGCTATGCTAGTGCTCCTCCTCACCCTGGGACTGCCACCCAAGACTGTGATTCAGATACAAGTATGAGCAAAGAAGCAGACTCCTGCCTCAGTGCTAGCAAAAAGACTCCTGTAATCTCCATCTGACCAGTTTGTTTGACCTCCTTACTGTCTGTGTGCTAAGAGCTTCAGAAGCTGCTGCTGACACTGCCACTGCTGATTCAATGGCTCCCAAGGTCTGATCCTGGTTTGCTGGGGCTAGGTCTGTGTTGGTGCAGCCTGCACAGACTGCACTCCACTCTCACCCAGCTGCAACAGATCTTTCCCACTGATCTTCCAAGTTGTCCCTGGTTTCTGTGAACTTAGAGGTCTGGAAAGGATCACTGCTGCCAGTGATTCAGTTGCTCCAAGGCCTGCTCCAGGTTTGATGGACCCCAGTCTGTGCTGGTGTGGCCTGTGCTGGACTATGCTTCTGTCTCACCCTGGTGCAATGGACTCTTCCCAACAACCCTCCAAGTTGTTCTGGGCTGGAAATTTGCTTCACTACATCTCTCTCTGAGTCCTTCCACTTTTGAATTTGTCTAGAGTCATTTTAAAAGGTGTTTGACTGGGACAGCAAGGAATAGTTTACCTGTCAGATTTATGGAGAACAGAAGAATTTATGACCAAACAAGAGATAGAGAACATTATGAAATGCAAAATGGATAATTTTGATTACATTAAATTGAAAAGGTTTTGCACAAAGCCAATGCAACCAAGATTAGGAGGGAAGCAGAAAACTGGGAAAGAATTTTTACAACCAGTGTCTCTAATAAGGGCTTCATTTCTAAATTATATAGGGAACTAAATCAAATTTATAAGACTACAAGTCCTTCTCCAAGTGATTAAAGGTCAAAGGATATGAACAGGCGATTTTCAGATGAAGAAATTAAAGCTATCTACAGTCATATGAAAAAATGCTCTAAATCACTATGGATTAGAGAAACACAAATTGAAACAACTCCAAGGTACCACATCACACCTATCAGATTGGCTAACATGACAAAACAGGAAAATTATAAATGTTAGAGAAGATATGGGAAAATTGGAACATTAATACATTGTTGGTGGAGTTGTGAATTGATCCAACCATTTTGGAGAGCAATTTGGAACTATGCCCAAAGAGCTATAAAAATGTGCATACCCTTTGACCCAGCAGCAGCACTTCTAGTGTTGTATCCCAAAGAGATCACACAAATGGGAAAAGGAGCCACATGTACAAAAATATTTATAGCAGCTCTTTCTGTGGTGGCAAAGACAAAAATTGAGGGGATACCCATCAACTGGGGAATGGCTGAACAAGTTGTGGTATATGAATATAATGGAATACTATTGTGCCATAAGAAATGATGATCAGACAGACTTCAGAAAAACCAGGAAAGACTTGTACGAACTGATGCTAAGTGAAATGAGCAGAATCAAGAGAACATCTTACACAGTAACAGCCATGTTGTGTGATGACTAATTTTGATAGACTTAGCCCTTATCAGCAATGCAAGGACCTAAGACATCTCCAAAAGTCCCATGATGGAAAATGCGATCCACATCCAGAGAAAGAACTATGGAGTTTGAATGCAGATCGAAGCATACTATTTCATTTTTTTTCCCCCTTCTGTTTTATTTCTTCTTTCTTGTGGCTCCTCCCATTGGTTGTAATTCTTCTTTACAACATGACTAATGTGAAAATATGTTTAATATGAATGTATATGTAGAGCCTATAGCAGATTGCACCTTATCTTGTGGAAGGAAGCAGGGATGGAAGGGGAGAAAATTTAAAACTCAAAAGCTTATGGAAGCGAATGTTGAAAATTAAAAATAAATTAATAAAAAAGGTGTTTTGAGGAGCTTAGGGGACAGCTCAGATGAGTCCCCACCTTTACTCAGTCATCTTGGATCTGCCTCCCAGAGATCTAGATTCCTAAAGAAGAAAATGACACTTTGAAAATTAGAATTGGTCAATGGGAAGCCAGTGAAGTTATGAATCCAAGAAATAACAAAACAAAATATGAAGAATGAAAAAAAAATAGAAGAGAAAGTGAAACATCTCATAAGAAAAACAACTGATCTGGAGAACAGACCAAGAAAAGAAAGCAAAAGAATAATCAATTTACCTGAAAGCTGCAATAAAAAAAAGAATCTTGATACATTAATATAAGAAATAATTGAAGAAAATTGAACTGAAGTGTTAGAACAAGAGGGAAAAGCAGAAACAAAAAAAAAATCCACCAATCACCACCTGAAAGAGATCCTGTAAGGAAAATCTACAAGAATATTATAGCTAGGTTCTGAAACCTCCAGCTTAAGGAAAAAATATTATGAGAAATAAGAAAAAAAAACAATTAAATAGGGCAAAGTCAAAATTCAAAACACACAAAACTTAGCAGCAGCTACACTGAAAGAACGCAGGTTTTAGAACACTATATGTCAAAGAGCAAAAGAACCGGAAATGTGGCCAAAAATATCATACCCAGCAAAGCTAAGCATAATCTTGAACAACAACCAAAAAATGGAAATTTAATGGATTGCTAGACTTCCAGGAATCAACAGAAATTTTGACATATGAGAACCAAGAAATTATAAGATAAACATAAGGACTAATTACAAGGACTCAATAAGGACAGACTATTCTTTTCATGAGAAAATGTAAATTCTATGTATGACTATTATTAGTAATTGGGTAGTTCAAGAGAAAGATTGTGGTAGAGCAGAATGTCATGTGATAACTAAAAAGTAAACTGCCTAAAAAAGGTAAGAAGAGCAATTGTCTTATACAAATGAGATGCATGAGGAAGAACTGACACAGAGGAATTAGATGGGGGAGGAAGGCTTATAGTTCTGGAACCCTACTCTCACTGGAAATGGGTTAAAGGGGAAAATAGATTTATATCTAGAAGAACATGAAAGTCTTCTAAATTCAGAATGAAATAAAAGGCTAAGGAGAAGGGGGAAGGTTAAGAAAAGGGACTTCGGTGAGAGCAGTAGGTTAAGTAATAGAAGTGCAAGGTAGCTGGTAGAAGTAAAGTAGAGGACTTAGGAGGGATAGGAAACAAGAGATACACACAAACAGAAAATAAAGATCAAGAGTAGAATTCATTAGGGAAAAAAGCAGGGATAGTAATCACGATCTCAGACAAAGTTAAAGCTAAGACAGATTTAATCAAAGGAGGAAAATAGGCAATTACACTATAAGTCAGCCATATTAATCAATATTGTTTTAGACTACTTAAAATAACTGAACAGTATAAGGTTGAAATATTTCTGTGATATAGGAAACAAAGTTGGTGGACTTAGAAAAATGTGGCAAGAGTTGGACCTATGAAAGAAGATTCTATCTATTCTCAGAGAAACAGAGGACAAGCAAGTATAGTACAGTCTTACATTGATGCATATGAAAGTATATATCTATATATGAGGAAGATTATAGATATCTATTTATATGTGTGTATATGAGCGTATTATAGATTATAGATATCTAAGTATTTATATGTGTGTATATGAATGTATGAATGCATACGTATGTATATATATATATATGTTTGTGTGCATACGTGTATGTATATATATGTAGCCTTCTGGTGGGGAGGAAGCAAGGAAAAAGAACAAAGAGTGCATAGCAGAGAAAGCAAAGCAAAGATGGACAACTCAGAATGCAATGTGTAGTTTCATATATAGGCTTTCTTGAAATGCAAATTTATTGCTGTATATTTAGAATCTTGTCTAATGTT